AATTGACTCGCTTAATCTGTGCTCCACTAATCAGGGCTTTATGTATCCTCGTGCGCGCCCTTAACTCGGGGTTAAAGCAACGCCGCGTTGATTGAACTACTTGTTATCAGCCTTTCTGAAACCGAATATTCCGAGTTGGACAGTTCGGGGTTACTCAACCCTGAGTATCGTTTTTCACTCTGAGTTTTCTAAACCGGCTTCCTGAAATAGGGCCCTGATGACCATCTGACCCCAACAACCATGCCAAATATATAGTCACTTAAATCACCTTTCTTCCCCATTCTGATCCCCAGTTTGAACTTGAACAGGTCGTCTTGCCCATGTCTACGTGCCTAAAGACACTGAATTGCTGCCATGTGATTGGCTGATTAGCAGGTGCGCCTAATAAAGTGGCTGACGAGTGTAATTGCCTCTACAATGAATCTTAATGTCTTTTTGCTATATGCTATGAAAATGTTGACATTTGAAGGTTTCATACAAATGCATAAAAACACTGTACAAAGGTTCATGTGTCCATCAGGATGATATTTTTTGAAAACTGTGTGGCTCCCACAACTTTTGCTTTCTGTGCCATTATTCACTCCTTTTCTAGTGACAGACTCTTAATTTTGACCAAAAACGGACATTCACAACAGTCTGAGTGATTTTTAGGGAGTTTACGTTCCTCCACATTTTCTAAGGCAATTTGATGTTAATATATGCAAGTTGAAGTAAATCTGAGCTTTATTTCTGCCTCTTCTCGCCATCTTCAGGCCAATATTTTATTACCGTGGGAATGAACTGATGGCTGTGAGGCTTGGAGAATACAAGGCACACTACTGGACCTGGAGCAACTCATGGGAGGAGTTTAGACAGGTGAGATTCCCTCTGAACAGTTCAACTCTGTTCCTCAGTTCTTTATTTGCACTGCCACATCCTCCTCCTTTGTCTCTCCTAATCGCACTCAAACACACAAACACTTTGGCTGTTGCTGGTGTTATCATGAGAGCGGCTCATCAGTTGACTGCTGTGTACATCAGTGTAATGAATATTAATGAAGAGCCCCCACATAAGCGAATGTACATCATTCATCAACCAGATGACTTGTTTGTTCAAACTCCAGTGGAAATAC